ATTGGTGGTGGTTGGTTGAGGTGGTGCTGCTTTCATCCATTTCATTGACATATAGTTTAGTCCAGCAATTCCCAGTTGCGTAGAAGTTGCCTCCCAGTTTGTTTTGATTCATTTGTGTATTGCAAAGTAAAAATGGGCTCCTATTTTTTTCAAGGTAAAGCAATTCAGTAAGATTTCTGCCAAACATAAAACACAGGCTACACCTGCAATGGCTGCTAATCATTCCCAGTTTGTTAAATGAATCAATACATTTCTAAAAGTGGTCTCACTGGTGCCTAGGATGAGTATTCATTTTATATCATCAACTGAAGGAAAAAAATCATCCCCAACATAAAAAACCCATGTTTGTACGTACCAAACTCAAATATACGTGACACCCTGGACAGGTTGCCAGCCAATCACAGGGCTGTAACAGCCACTCACACTCACATTCACACCTACAGGGAATTAAGAGCCACTGTTTATTCTAACCTGCATATTTCTGGATTGAGGGGGGAAACCAGAGTTGTTATGCAGCTGACTGTCGACAGCAGACTGGTGATCAGCTGCAGATAGTGTTGTTCAGGGCACTGAGTTCATGTCAGCAGCCTGAGGTGTGACACAAATGTCAGGTCACCAGTGGTAAAGGTCACTAAGGGGCCATTTATTTAGCACTGTGAGCTGTTTAAATACATGAATGATAGGTATGTGGCCTGGGTGAACTTGCTGTTTACTCTCCCCATTTCCCTGACTCTGGGCTTTTCACATATCACACATAATCCACTGCACAAGTATGTGTGCAGTCATACACAAGTCTTTACCTCTGAATGTGTTCATATCCTCCTTGCATAAAAACTCTCCTCACTGGCTAAAGCTACGTGCACACACACACACTGAACTGTGTTCATTAATTTAGTTTAAAAAGTGTATAATAATAGGCTGGAGGCAGAAATCTCACAACCCGAGTTTTGCATGACTAGATGCTATCAGGCTTAAGTGTAAAAATATATTTTATTTTTAGTGATTTGGGTAAACTAATCTTTTCTGTTCATACCAGAAACATGCAGAGCAGTAGGCTCATCCAAGGCCACAAATGCTTTAGTAAACACATGTACCCACATGCACACACACTTCTAATCACACAGTACCAGAGGGAAAGTACTACACTCCCTTCTCTAAATCCTCCTGTAATGAAGAGAAACTGGCAGAAATCTGAAAGGTAATCATCTGCTCCTTGCAGTCATTCAGCTGACTCACTGATTACACTGGTTTGTGAGCAGCAGAGCTGGAAGAATGACTTTCACTTGGCTTTTGTACAGTTTGGATCGGCCAGTCTGATGTGTGATTGTGTGTTTACTTTAGTGCACGTGTGTTTGTGCATTTGAAGAAATGGCTGACGATGAGATAATGACATGGAAGAAGAAGAAGAAAGTGAAAAGCTGTGAACTGAACTTGATGACAGAGTTCATGGATGAAGATCATTCAGTTAATGGAATCACATATTAACCATCTTGTATCCTACGTACTGATTACTGCATAATAATAATAATAATAATAATAATAATGAAGAAGAAGAAGAAGAAGAAGAAGAAGAATCATCACCATCATCATCAGAAAAAAAACGTCAGATCATCAATAATCTAATCTGGATAACTCAGTTATCTATGTATGCAGAACAGGGGCCTAATCTGAACTTTTATCCCTCCAAAGCATACAAAAACACACACACACACACACACACACACACGCACACACATCCTTGCTTTCATCACATACCAGGTCCCTACATAGTCTTACATTCATTTCCAGGAGACTTACCCTAACCTTAACCAAAGACGACACTTGCTCTAACCTTACACACCGTCATTTTTGTTAAATTTGACCAACTACATTGTGGAGACAGGCTCCAGTCCACACAAGTCACTTCCGGTCCCCTAAAAGATAGTAACTCACAGATTTGGGGCTGCAAAAGTATAGAAAAATGAGACCATACAAACACACACGCACTCACTGAGCTTTAACTGTATCCCATCTGTCTGTTTCTTCCTATTAACCACATCCTGCCTCTGGCTTTAACTTTCTGTGAAATCCCCTGCTGACTTCTTATTAGCTGCCATCAAGCAGCAGAGGCTGGAAACAACATGTTCCTGTTTGAGACAAAGCTTTAGAGCTACTTTGTTCCACTTTCTCTGAAGACAGTCACTTCCGTTTTTACCTTTTCTCCACCCTCTCCCCCAATCCCTATTTCTTCTTACAACATCTGCCACAAACCTGTCCTCTTCTGACTTATATAACTAACAACTGCTTCCATGTGGGACTGACAGAGAGATTCATGCAGATTCAAAGCCTGTTGTTCAAACACTAACACACATGCTCTCTTGTAGGCTTTCCTATGACTCAAATGTCACTCATCACTCAGCCACACAGTCTGTGCACCCTGTACTTCTCAGAGAGGAGCAGAAAAATCCTTTTAGTATGCTCCTTACATTTTAAAAAAATATTTTGGTCGATTTTATATAGTTTTAAGTCCCCAGAGTATAAATTTGTAGTGTAGACACACACAGTATCTGAATGTGATTTAAGGAAATGGTCACTATTTTAACTCTGACTTCACTGAATGGGGTCAGTGGTCCAAAGTAAACTCATGACAACTGAGCCATTATGGTAGTGACTGACTGGTTACATTGAGCCTTCATGACACCAGTGCCAGACTGCCAGCTCTTAAAGAAGAGCTGCTCACTGCTCCACTTTCTTCTGCTATTCTGGGAAAAACATCATTTCCCTCGAAGGTATGTTAAGCAAAAACATCCCATAGAGCTCTGTGATGGTTTTATGATCAGACCTCAGGGAAACACAGCCGTGACCAAAGGGCCAGTTGATTGATAAAAAAAAGACATCTTCTAAATCCCGTTTTACTTGCTCTATTTAGATAAAACAACAAGGGCTCAGGACAACTCAAAGAAAGGGACCCACAGCAGCTTTTGTTCACAAATGGAGAACATATTGTAACAACTAAAAAGAAGTTTGATGCTGCAATAATAATAATGACTATTATTAATATTATTATTATAAAAATAATCTCAAATTCAATTCTAAAATCCACTGGTAGTTAGTGAAAAGGTGCCAGGACAGGTGTTAATGCCTGTGAACAGTCAAGCAGCAGCATTTTGGACCATTTGAAGATGGGCAAGAGAGAGGATGGATTTATACAAGTATATCAGGTATTACAATAACCTAATCTACTCAAGATAAAAGCATGAATAGCTATCTACAAATCCTGTTTTGATAAAAATGGCTTGAAACTATGAAAATCCAGATATGATGCATGCCCCAAACCTGGTTTAAAAAGCAACATCTCCATTTTATTTTCATTAAAAGGTAAAAAGCTTTGTGTTAGCCTTATCCTAACATCCTCAAGGCAATTAATCATCCACTTCATAGCACTAGAATCACTCTGCTCTAACATTAAATAAAGCTGAATATCGTCAGCCTAGCAATGAGATGATAACCCATGTTTCCTTATAATTCTACCCAAATAGGAAATCTATAAAGATAGCAATGGCAAGGGTGGACCCTTGAGGGACCCCACAAGTCAGGAGAGCAGCCAAGGAAACTGTTTTATGGTAAAAGTCCTATCAGACAGACTTGACTTAAACCACTCCAGAGCCACTCTCATAAATGCCATAACGATGTTCTAACAGATGAAGAAGAATGCCATGATCAATTGTATCACAACAAAATCCCCGGCATCTGTGATTAACCCTCCTGTTATGTTGCGGGTCAAATTGATCCACGAACATAACTGCTGAGCAGGCATCACCTGAGAAATGAACATAACAGGAGGGAACCCTCCTGTTATGTTCATTTATGTTCATTTCTCAGGTGATGCCTGCTCAGCAGGGTGCTGCGAGGGACACGGTCGAATGCCTTCTCCAGATCCCCGAAACACATGTGGACTGGTTGGGCAAACTCCCATGAACCCTCCGCCACCCTGAAGAAGGTATAGAGTTGGTCCAGTGTTCCATGGCCAGGACGAAAACCGCATTGTTCCTCCTGAATCCGAAGTTCGACTATCAGTCGAATTCTCCTCTCCAGTACCCTGGCATAGACTTTCCCGGGGAGGCTGAGGAGTGCGATCCCCCTATAGTTGGAACACACCCTCCGGTCCCCCTTCTTAAAAAGAGGGACCACCACCCCGGTCTGCCAGTCCAGAGGCACTGTCCCCGACCGCCATGCGACGTTGCAGAGGCGTGTCAACCAAGACAGCCCAACAACATCCAGAGACTTAAGGTACTCAGGGCGGATCTCATCCACTCCCGGTGCCTTGCCACCGAGAAGCTTCTTGACTACCTCAGTGACTTCAGCTTGGGTGATGGACGGAGGAGATCATTTTGAATTTCAATTAATGTAGATTCTGTACTGCAGATATCTAAACCTGGACTGAAAAACCTCAAACGCATTTTGTGCATCAAGACAGGAGCAAAGCTGAGAAAGGACTACTCTTTCCAGTACCGTGCACAGACATGGTAGTTTGGAAATAGGTCGGAAATTTGCAAGAACATTCACATACAAATTAGTTTTTTCAAAAGAGGCTGTGTTGTTGCATGATTGAACACTGAAGGCACTCAGGATAATTATCTAAATGAGAAACTAGTAATTATCTTAATTATGCTAATTACTAGTTACTGTGCAGTCTTTGACCAAGTATTGTAGGCAGTGTGTACATATGGAGTTAGAAGCTACAATACTGAAATCGGCCCTATCTGACAGTGGTGAAAAGTCATTTAACAAATTTCTGGATCTGGATGCTGATGATCTGGATCAGCACCAAAATCTAATGGATTGTTTAGTGCGCCATACCCTACCTCTCCAAAAATACTTCATCAAAATCCATTCATTAGTTTTTGAGTTATGCTGTGAACAAACAAACCAACAAACACCTTGCTTGCATTAAACTATGCTCTATTCTACTAATTGTGATGACTTGTGCTTGTGTTCAAGAAAAAGCAGTGTGTGTGTACCTGTGGCCTTTTCAGGGTTGTTACACATGAAGCAGAGCCAACCTCCTTCTTCCTCACTGTATCCAAACAAGTCAAAAAACCGCACTTCCTCCAAATGGCTCTGAAGAATGTCCAAGTCCTGAAGAAAAAGGAAAAGAAGGCAGAGACAGATGAAATCATAGCCCACCCATCAATTAGCTACACTTGCTTATCCTTTAGAAGGCTGCAGGAGGCCTGGAGCCTGTCCCTGTGGACACAGGGTGAGAGGTAGGGTACAGCCTGGACAGGTCACCAGTCCGGTGCACACACACACACACACCTATGGGCAAGTCACCAGTTGACCTAACCTACATGTTTTTGGACTGCGAGGGGAAGTCAACACTGGCATGGTGAGAACATGTAAACTGCCCTTTAACTATATTTAAACTTCACAGGGGGATGTTGTGATCAAAACTACTTATGTACAGTGTCTAATTTAATCATATACTGTATAAATGTTCTCATATAAAATACAGATGCAGAGGCAGTGCATACAGCAGAGCTGCATTAAAATTAGTAAAGACTTAATTATTACTATAATATCTCTTCTCCAGCGGCTTCTTGCGTTTTCCATAATATCTATGAAGACATGAGTGTCAGTACAGACCTGTTACATAAGATGTGATGCACCTGCACAACATTACTGAAACAAACATAAAAAAGGCAGATGGAAACTTTTTTTGCAACCCAAAACTGCTTTGCTCACACTGCTCACTGCAGTACTGCTGTTTATGTATGTTGTACACTTCGTGGTTCGGTGCACATAGTCACCACGTTGCACCACAAGGCATTTCAACTCACTTAAAGACGTCTTTCACAGCTGGTAGACCCAGATTAAACAAAGGGCCAGACTTTACAAATAAGTTTTATACCGACAAATACTTATTCCTGCCATTCTTTCTAATTTATTACTCAAAACAGTGAAAGAAGAAAGACAAAATGACGGGCGGACATTTTGTCAGCCTGCAGACAAATGTTAAAGCTTAAAAATCTCTAAATGCAAATCACACATATATACATAAATCAGTGACCGTCAACTCTAAGAGGTACTTAAAAGCCTGGCATTGTGGTTATGGACTGGTGTATACTGAAAACATATGTGTTTGGCTGTGCATCTGTGTGTGTGTGTGTGTGTGTGTGTGTGTGTGTTGTGTGAAAATGTAAAGTAATGGGATCCTAGACCCCCATTAGAATTCCCTGAAGACCCCCTGCACATGGTAAGAGTTAGACTTCACTTTAAATACTCAGAAATACACTTCGGTGACACTATTATCCTTGAGATAATATATATTTATGTTAGGCTGGTTTGGAGAAAAACAGGAAAACTTAAAAAGATGATGGATTACTGTCATCAGTCTTCATGACAAAGAAGCGGTCTTCTCCTGTGTGTGCTCATACTGCATTTAAGTACATTTCTGTACCCACATCTACATGGACAACCTACAGAGTATCTTCTGTGGATGTCTAAATATCCTGAGAACTAACCTCTGCTTTGTCATTTCCTCTGACCTCTATCCTGCTTTCACATTTTCTGATGATCCATTTAAAAGCATAATTTCTCACTACATCAAAATTAGTCTCACAGAAGATGCTCAGAGGGACATGGATTTAAATGAATGTAAGAAAAAGAGGTAGCTGTAATGGCTGAGCTATAGTGTTTGACCTTTTGACCTATACCGCTTCAGCCCTTGATGTTAACGAGCAGAGACTGAAATGTTAAGCTTTTCTTTTAAAGCGGGCACTCCCAATTAGACTGCTGAAGCTTGGACTAAAATCCATATGTCAACACACACTGTACTGGCCACAAACAAGTACATGTTTCTTTGTGTTGTTTTAAATATGTGATGTGCAAGGGCTTTGCATGAGGATACAGATGAACTAGAACCATGTGTGGCTGAGAAATCCGGGCCATCTGTGGGTTTACACGAACATATTCTGATTGGGTTCAGGGGACCGGGTGGGCTTCAGGAGTCACATGTTGCAAGAGTGAGAAAACCTGATCGGGACACCAGAAAATCCAGACAATGGAAGACAAATAGGGTGGATAGGAAAGAGAGATGAAAAAAGGCCAAAAGTGGTGATAGTGGTACATTTCCTCACTGGACTTGACTTGAACTGCTGTGCTACTTTATACTTCTACTTTATCTAGTAGAGCACTCTGTTTACTGCTAATGTTACACAAAGCTTGACTTACTCCAAAATTAAAATCATGTTAATTCAATAGTAAGGTAAAATCATGACCATGTTAGGTTGCAAATGTTACCAAAACAAACACATTAGTTTAAGAAGCAAGAACGCCACAGGTGACAGCTGTGCTGCAGTCAGAGTAGTAACTCATGGTATCTCAAGAGTACCTATGCTAAAGTAGGAGCTAAAAAAGTCCCTCAAAACATTGTTCTAAGAACTATTATTGTTCTCTGTTCCTACATGGAGGGGGTCAGTATAGAGGAGAGATGCTACATCCTGTCACATTTTCACTTGATTAGATTTGACAATGTGTAAAATCTTCATAATCTTTATTTTTCAGTTCTGCTTTTCAGAGACAATGAAACGGCCTTTCTTTGGTTTAAACAAGCCAACTCATGCCTGAACAAATGCTAAACTGTTTACAAAGCTGATTTGAATCTGCAACAACTAAAAGAAATCCTAACAAACTAATCCTAACAAACTAAAAATAAATCCTTTCCTCTGTGGAAAGGATTAAATACCATGAGTTAGTTGTTGAGAAACAGTCTACATGGTGCCAGGCTCACAACACTAAAACGCAGCTGACACAGAATAAATGAGTTGTAAATGGTATGGAGAGGCCATGTTTTGGGTGACAAACATGCACCCGGGCAACAAGCTGATTTGGCCAAACACACTTCCATATTTGATAGATCACAACAAATAGATCAGGGAAGAGGTGAAGAAACAAAATTGCTGGATTATGTGTCTGATTGTCTGTCCTCATGCAACCCTTGTTCCACTTTTAATGAGCCCTGTCTCTCTTTCTGCACCCCTTCCCTCCTATCATTGATTTTAGATCATAATTATATTAATTTGACCAACATGCAACTTTATCTCCACATGATTGTAACAAGGGACAAATGTAGTGGATCAACACAGACAACACAGGTAACAAATCTTCCCAAATCTTCCCAAATTCAGTTTTCAAGAGAAAATTCAGTCAACAGTCAGATATAATTCCATTGCTTTTCATAGAGCCTCACTTATTATTATTATTTATTGTTGTTAAAACTCCTGGTAGACTCAGTACAAAAAGAAACATGAACTGAAGTAAAACTATATTTGGAAGGTTTTAAAGAATCATTTGTTAACTGATTAAATCATTTTAGATATGGCACACAGTCACTTCAAGTTTTAAATGTAATCAGTGCATTTATTTGGACTGTCGCTGTTGATAAGGCTGTGAGTCATTTGGACCTGGAAATGAGCAGAGGAGATGAAAGGAGTGAAAAGCTTTTAAGAGGTTTCAAGACAGAAGGGGAACAGACAGTGGGAGGTTGAGTCAGGAAAGAGGAGGAGGAGAGAGGAAAGGGCAAACCAGAGGGAAGGTGAGTGGATGAAGAGAGGGAGGGTCTCATCTTTAGGTTTCTGAGAAAGACAGTTTGTGGAAACCCCTCAGAACCTGTAAATCAAATATGTTGGCAAATGTTCTCATTCTTTGCAAAAGAAGGAAAAAAAGGTGAAACTGTAATTTCATCTCTTCAATCTCAGGCTTCCACTTTGCTCAGTCTTTCTACATTTCTCATGCCATGTCTTCCTCATTTTGATTCATTTTTTCTTTTCCTACATTCTCTGTGTCAACCTATTTTATTGTACCTTTTCACAACTCTCCTCTACAGTTTCATCATCCTGTCTTTGTATTCCTCCTCATTCAGTGCTAGCTCTCTTTGCTCTTCATCTATAATTCCTTTTCTTTACATTTCTCAGACCATCATCTCTCCTTATTACTGTACATGCCATGTCTTCTCTCTTTAAGCTATGACCTTTCCCTCCCTTCCCTTTCATGCCTGCGTGTTTCAGCCAATCTTTCCCATTTTTTCCATAAAGGCCTTTTAAATTTTTATCCCTCTCACTGATTGAACTCAGTCATTATTAACACATTTACGGTGCAGCTCTTTAAACCCTTTGCTTGTTTTTATTACTGAATATTTGTCTTTTCTTCCTCTGTATCTCACAACAATCCTTCTTCTTCTTCAAGCCTTTGCCTTCCTTCATCCTTCTCATCTTTGCTCACAAAAGCGTTTGATTACTTCTGTGTTATAAAACTACAACACTGAGTTTTCGGGGGCTATACAAATGCCCCTCTTAAATCCCTGAAGCCCCAAAAAGCCCAACAGTCTCCCTTTAAATCTCCCCGTCAGGATAGATGACTCATCACTATCGCAGATGCATCTGCAATTTTTAGAACAAGGAAGCACAGGAATAGCTACCAAAGTGTACTTTAATGGCCACACCAATGTGAAATAAACCCTTAAATCCACAACTGAATTCAGTCTAAATAATTCTATGTGAAATTATCTGCATCATGAAATGTGTGATAACCTAGAAAGATTACTTTTAAATAAGATAAATAAACTAGTCTTCAGTATGTGGCACCAAAGTGTGCTGTGTCTGTGTTCACCAAAATTGCAAAACACTGTTGGATATGCCTATATGTGCCTTGTGCATGGAATTTACACACACGCATAGTGCTGTGCCCTGTCACAAGAAAATAGAGCCCTTTGTGTACAAAGACTTTTTTATGCATTGTGTTGACGTACTTCCTGAACAATACAGACAAACTTTCACAAGCCTAAAAGCAAGTTAGTATATGAACATCCCCATGCATAACAGTGGAGATGGAAGTAAATATTAGGGAACACCAGAGACACTACTATAGTTGAGAAACACAGACCTTTTGCAGCTCCAGAGTGAGCTGGGAGGAATTTGATAAAGTGCCTCAAATGATGTCACTAAGGATCACAGGTTTCATAATAAATATTTGGGGTTGTTACAAAGCAGTGGACTTACCAGGCCTCTGCAGACTGTTCCTCCAGGCTACATTAGTCAATACTAGCATAAAACACTCAGATCTCTGAACTGTTGGGGGCTGAACTGCGGACAATATAAACACCAGGTTTTGACAGGGAGAAAATGACGTGTGGAATAAATTAGATGATAGCTCTGGTTCTCCTGTGTTGACTGTGGTCAGTTTCTTCAGACTATCTATTATGATTCCAGCAATGTTTTAGATGAAAAAAATGCTAAATCAGTTGAGCACTCATTTAAGAAGTGAGCTGTATTTCATGTATTTTAATCAGTTCCAATTCTGTCTCTATTTGAGAAATATGAGAGGACTGGTACTTGAGAATTTCCGAAATGGTACTGGGGAGGAAAAGTTAGACAGGTATATCTTTAGTGTTTACTGCTTCTTTTTGTGAAAGGTGGATTTTTAACCTTTGGACAAAACCAGGCCATCTGTTTTCCTCTGTTTTAAATCTTTATGTTAAGCTAGCCTTTCTGCCTCCTGGTTGTAGCTGCATATATACATAACAGATATTAGAGTGGTATCAATCTTCTTATCTAACTCCCAGAAAAAAAGTGAATAATGAGCAGATTTACTAAACCTGCCACAAATTAGCCTCAGATCCACAAAATATTATGGTGCCATAATTTAGTGGTGTATTTACCAACACTGATGTAAATGAGCACAGCAGTTTTTCAGAACTGCCACTCAAATCTTCTTTTATTTCATTCAGAAACTGAAGCATGGTTTGACCTTAAGGCCAAACATGTTTTTAACTCCAAAGAGACCTGAGATAACTAACACTGACAGCAGAGCCGCAAATTTTATACCGGCTTTCTCCTTTTGTCACAGTTCAGCTGCAGTTCCTCTGTCACAGCGGTGGTAAATCAGGCGCTGAGAGTATTTGTATAAATTTCCATTCTCTCCTCCCTGATTCTTGCACCCCTGAATGGGAACATCTTAAAATACATATTGCATGAGAACAAACGCACAAATTCCCTTGGTGCCACTCTCATTTTGTTTTCTGTGTCGCAAAACCCCACTGTGACTCCTTAATAGATATGAACATATGTAATTTCACTGTTTTGTGCCTAAATACAGTATTCCCTTCAAAAGCTTAGTAAATAATAATAAATAATATCTCCATAAGTGTTTTTAAAGTGAATTTAAAGTAAGAGAGGCCAGTTACAGCTGGGTGAGATCACCAGGAAGTGAACTTTACTAGAGGCTGAACAAGTAAATCAGAGATTTTATAGGCACTGATAAAGACTGTAAAGGAAGAAGTTTAGTTTCACACAGCATTAATTTTTCTACCCTGTCTAGTGTAGGTATGTATGCATGTGTGTTTATGTGTGTGTGCATGTTAGAGGAATGGAACGAAACAGTACACTGCTACGTGAACTGCAAGAGTGGCCAATATCCTTGTCTTCTAAACGTGCATGTGTTTGTTTTTAAGTGAATGGGACTGAATGTGTGTGTGTTGCTATGTTCAGGCTCCATATGGTAACAATAGTTGGTCCATGTCACTGCAGCCACAGCACACAATTAGAGAAAGACAAACATATTTTCTTTGTGGGTCTAATTATTTCCTAGAGACCACTTAGCTTGTCACATTATGAAGGAACAACTCCCATATCCACAGACTTACAAAAACAGATACTGAAACAGGCACATATATTCACACACACATACACACACACACGCTGTGTTTTTGTTCCTTGTGGGGAATTTACATTGACTTACATTTATTTTCTGTAGACTTATCCTAACTTTACCATAACCACTACTTGCCTAATAGCTAACCCTGATCCTATCCTTAAACCATGTTTCGACCCAAGAATTCAGTGATTTCCTCGTGGGAACTAGTCCCCACAAGGATGGCCGCGTCCTCACAGTGTGAGTGTGTTAACAGGTTTCGGTCCCCATAATGTAGGTAAAACAAAGGCGTGCACGCACGCGCACACACACACAGAGGCACAAACTCTGGTCCAGTACCTTCTTGTGTGGGGTAGTGTGCTGTGTAATAGCAATGGGGAAACTGTGAGCTCCTTTTAGCTGTGTCTTCCCCCAAAGCAAAGCCAGCCTCTGGACACACTCGTCCTTGGAGCACAGGGGAACACAGGACTTACTCTGGTTGAGAGGGAAGAATAAAATTAACAAGGAAACTTAACACAAACAGGCTGGGATAGAAGCAGAAGAGACATGAACAAGAAAGAGAAAACAGGTTAGGGCACAGAGAGCTCATCTTGTTTGCAGTTTTACATTTGAACAGATGCAACCACTTGTTACATTTCAGGATTTTCCCGTATAGCTCTCAAATATAACAGTGTGTGTTCCTGAATCAACATGTTTCAGGCTTACAGGTTTTACTTTTGTCGAGAGAACATTACAATTGTGGCAACTCTCTCTGCAGTGACCGTAACATTAAAGCTGCATTAACTGAGAATTCTCATTGATAGAACAGAGATTCAGTATCTGGTAGACTTTTCCCATTGTCAATTCACTATATGTGCAGGACATACAGAAAATCGAAATACCGTTTCTCTCTCACCTAGTAATGAATGCCATACCATTTAGGAAACTAAAATAGAATAAAAGTAGAGTAAAATTAGACTAAAAAGAATAAGAAAACTAAGTCAAAGTGATTAGGATAAAACAGTACAACTTAATGGGCTATGACTCAAACCATCAAGTAAAAAATTGTCTCCCTGATGTACTAAACCCCCAGCCCACTCTACTATCTTCAGGCCTTGTTTATTTCTTTCCCTCTGTGGCCACCACACTTCTTCTACACCCACACTGATCCGAGGTTAATAGAGGCATTTGTCAAACCAGTATGGCTCATTTCAAAGACGGACCGTGGAGGCCCCCTGTGCAGGTAAAACCCAGGATGGGAGCGACCCTGTGTTCTGTAGCACAGAAAGAGCGCAACAAAGAACAAGCCAAAACCAGGCTTAACATCAGTTTGGCATGTCAGAGATGAAGCCCATTAGAAGGATCCAAAGGACTAACATTTGATGCAGATGTGTAGGTAGCTAGCTAACGTGTATATGTTGGTGTATATGTCATAACACAACAATCATGTAGCATTTTAGTGAGACATTGTTAAGATTGACTCCATCAACACAACTAGAAAAATGGGGAGTTTGTTAAACTATCAAAGCTTAACATGTCATTTCTGTTGTTTCACATTGTGTGTGTCAAGTATGTGACATTTAATGTAATGTGAAAGTGGCCGGAGCATTAGTACGGAATCAGTATTACTGGGAAAAACTGTTCCTTTGTATAATTTGTTGCGTTAGTACTTTGGATATGAAAAAGGACCCGTGTCCCTGCAGTGCCACCAAAACCCACGAGCTCTATGTGCTATACAGTATCCCATACACGTTAGTTCTGGAGCCGGTTATCACTGCTGAGCTACATGTCTGCAGAGTCTGTCCTAGGCTGTCGTGCCATAGTTTTAAAGACAGGGCGGGAGGGGCAAGGAGGAGCGGAGGGAAGTGAGGAGGGGATACCACTTGAGTTTGTTTTGAGTTTCACTCGCTCTCTAATGGTCCAAAGTTAAACAGCAAAAATTACCTGGAGCCGCAGGCATCCAAATATGGTATAAGTACACTAAAGAAGAGCTTTTTGAAGATACGGTTCTGCTATTTTGCAGTTTCATTTCTTAAGATTCAAGCATTATGACAGATGGTGTGGAACAAGGTTTGACAGTTTTGTGCTTTACAGCTCAACATGTGGATACCTGTAGCTGTAGCAGCATGACGTGAATCCAAAGATGAGGCTGTCGGCTGGTCAGGCTAAAACAGGACTTGGCGTACAGACAGTAGTGGCCCTTCAGGGGACAGGAGAAGGACAGCTTGGCCACACATCCTCGATTTGAATCTGTCACACAGGCAACACACACACACACACAAGAGTGAAACTGATTCAACTATATTTACTAGATGCTGAAATGTTGCACAGCTGAAACTTGACAAATTCACTCAACTCTTTCTCTGTGTTTCTCTCTGTCTGTTGCAGCATAACTTGATCATTTGATTACTCGATCTTCCCATCACCGCCTCCCACAAACGTCCACCTCACAGCCAAGGAGGAGAAACTAGTGAAGGGTCAATGGTTTCTGCGCATCATGAGGGAATCCCCTGAATTAATAGTATATTTTTGTAGTGCCTCATTTTAGTTTTATATTCATTTGAATTTTAGGCCTTACAGATTAAGTAAAATAATAAGGATGGTGAGTCACAGCTGAGTTTGATTAATGGTAAGTTCATGTTTTGGTGGAAGGCTGGGGGAGAGAAGTGCTGTGTGCACACAGGTGAACTGTTGAATTTGTGCACCTGAATGTTTGCACATATAGTACAGTACACTACAGGTGCATAAGGCCATTGCTCATTTACAGAAGTATTCAGACCCTTAATTCTGCACTTTGTAGTAGCCCCTTTGGCAGCAGTTACACTCTGTGTACTCCACAGCTGTATAACCTTTGGACATCTGGATTTGGGCCATTTGGTTAGGCTGTGTATAGACAAATAATTTTTCAAATGGATGCAACATGTTGAAAACAACAATTCGGTATCACCTTTAATATTATTTAATTTTGAGTTTAAACTGTGTGTTTGAATGATCTCTCCCCTCTGGTTTCTAACATCAGCCTGAGTAAATAAACATTCTGGGCTGAGTTTTAACTCCTGCTAAACTGTAGGAAGGGACTGTAGATGTTGCACGTGAAGCACACGATCCTCATCAGTAGCTGGATTGATGGCACTCAATAATTGGAAACAGCTCTTCACACAGCAGATGCATAAGGAGTCCTGTTTCGAGGATTCAAGGTGTCTGATCAAGATGCCATGGATCCTTAGATAAGAAACGCAGTTTGACATGCTTTATATACCAGCGTGTAAGGGCACCCTTGGTCACCTAATTAGCCGAAGTCGACAGACTGCAGCTTGGTAAAAAGACAACGTGATGCGCATGCCATGAAAATGGTAATTGCACACGTAGGAAATTAGGAAACACAGACACGCTACCCCCGATGCACGCAATTCGTTTGTTTCAAGATAGGGCGCTAGGTGTCTGTCCAGGCAGGATATATAAACTATGAGAGGGCCAAAAAAATCTGATAGGTATTCAGGGTAGTAACTAATGATGGGGTCACGGGGGTGGGTGACCAGCTCAATGATCTTCACATGCAACACTAAAATCTAACTAATTCCCCTGAAAAAAACAAAATTCATAATTAAATCCCAGTAATCAAGTCCTCTTGACTGCTATGCAATGCTGCATCTCTGTGTGTGTACTGTGTGAGTTAGCGAGTGAAACGGGGAAGGGGAGGTGTAATAATCCCACATCATTAATCAACCCCAGTCACCACATCTGACTTTAATCTCAAACCCTCTCTGGGCCTCTCTATGTGTAACCCCTTCTACACTTACTGTATGAACACAAGCATAATAATATGACACAGCGTTTTGTATTCAGAAAGCTGCTCATCATGTTCTCACATTACCTTCTATCACACACTGCTCTGGTATGGGGATCAGCCGCACCATGTCTTTACAGAACTCTCTGATTGTCTCCATATTGTCTCTGAAATGGATGAAGAGTCTATCTGCTTCCTCCACCTCTTCCTCCTCTCCACTTTGACCTTTCTCTGCCCTTCTAACCCCTCTGTCCAGTCGAGCAGTAATGGGTGGAGAGATGTCGCCTGTCGCTTTTCTCTCAGTAGGTGGTGCTTCCTGGTTTTCTGAGTGCTGACTGGAGATGGCGTTGTCCGGGATCGGCACCACTCCCTCTTCGTCCTCCCCAGCGTCTGAGCTGATGGAGCGTGAGCGCACCACATGCAGAGCCAAGCTCTTTGACCTATGAGGGACCAGGAAATATAAGACCTGCAAAACTACTGTATAGACCTGAATTCTGTTCACTCCCTTATGTTGACAGCTGTCTCTTTGACACCTTGCAGTACATTTACCAGGTTTCTTTGGGGAAATTACAATAAGTAAAATTTTACAAGGTGCACTGATTTTGTGATTATATACAGAACAAAATAAAATAGAACTGTGGGATTAAGGATGTTTTTGCTAAACATGCAGCACTAATTTTCTGTAATCAGTGTTCACCTGTGCTTAAATTACTTTTCTGTTGGAAGAAAACTGCTGTCTTTATAGTTGTATTGCCAGTATTGTTAATATTGTTAATTATGATTGTGTACTGCAGCTTCAGTCATGCATTTGCATGACCTTCAGTAAGTCTAACATACTTCACTGTATAACACAGCAGGTGATGTTTCATTATCACAGTACTTTTCTAACTCACTAAAGTACAACACTAAAAATGTAAATGTATCCAAAAAGCCAACCAAACGTCTATTTAAAATTTGAGAATTTTATTTTTTTTTAATAAAAAACATGCCTTGAACTTTCAGTAGTCCTAAGTTTTCTTCAGTAAATAGACACAGTCATATCTTCTTGGCTCAAAGCATCGTTAACTTGGCTAGAGATCAATAAAATCAAAGACACTATACAGTGACAGTGGCAACAGCAACAGTCTGTTCTTCATGAACAGAAATTCTTACTGTCCAGTCAGATTTAAGCAGACACTCAGCAGAGCCATGTTAATATGACAGACTAACTGACCTGTTGACTCTTATCTCATGTCTCTCCTCAGTGATGGCTTGGCTCGGTTTGTAGCGCTGCTGAGTGGCAGGGGATTCCTCATCTAGCTCCGCATCCCCCCCCTCCTCCCCGAAGGCCCGGGTCTGTAATTGCAGCTGCTTTTCTGACCCCCCTCCTACCCCGCCTTCTCCTCCTGGAAGAGATGCACAGGTAGATGATGGGCACGCCTCGTCTGCCCTGTAACAAACACGCAAGCACACACACACACAGACAGGAGAAAGGATTGGACTGGAGGTAAATGGGCACGTGAGATAAAAGCTGGACAGACACATTTGGATAGATTTTAATAGCCTCACTCTCCCCCTTTTGTCCCCTTCTGGCCAGCGTTTCTGTAATTCTTGCTTTCTCATGATGAGTGACTTTTTTATGCCTCTCACCCCCCGTCTCCCTCTTTTGCTGGAACAATCTCCCTTTCTCTTATCTATGTTTCTATGTGCTTTTATGGTCCTCTCTTTTGGTCTCTAACTAAACTAAATATCCCCCCAACTTTCTCAGTCCCTCCTTCTCTCTGTCTTTCTTCTACAAGACCCCAAGCAAAGCAAAAGCCTCCAATCCTGCACACAATGTTCTTATTTCAGAGAGAGCTATGCGTGCCTTTCCCACACTGCAGTCAGATAAATTGCAGCCAACTTTTGCACATCAACAGGCAAACACATGCATACAAAACACACTCACATGCTGTCCTCGCATGTTGTGCATGTATACCACACCGAAAAACACTTTTCATAGCTTCTAATTATATAGTAATTATGTAGGATGGAAGTTGTCAAAGGACAGAATATAATGAACGAGACAGAAAAACATTTTAATGATCTATAAATAATAATACATCAAGTGCTTTCAGGTTTTAGTATCACAAATCAATGAGCAGGTTCAATAAGTGTATTTTCTGGGGTTTGAGCAAGTTTCATAACTATGGGCTACTCTATGAACTGCAAATAAATGTGTCACTTTTTAGGCAAATCTCTTGTTTTTCAGTCCCGATTTGTAATTTCAATAATTTTATCAAATAATAGTAATAATGTTATTATGAATTTAGCTTTTCAATGCAGTTATTTTCCTATTATGTTATCCTCTGTCCTAAATTAAGCTCTTTCAAGTGAAAGGGAGAACAGGTTTATTGGCTCTAAATGTGAAACAATGTTGACTTCCCATATCTTACGTCAGACCAGAACCAATAACAAAACTGTTCTTTGGTGTTGTTTAAATCTGTATCCTTAATTCAATACATGTAAGCATTAATTCAGCAGCTGTGAGCACACACACTGGGAAATCATACTGTGGGGTGGCCATAGCTGGACACAAAACACCGTCCTCTGAAGATAAAGAGAGGAATGGAGGCAATCTCAACATATACAGTGGATGAGGACAAAATCAAAGCTGGTCAGTCCACATTAGCGTCTTTCCCAACCTGAAGCGTGTGGCCGTGTTCTCCTCCAGTCGTCTCCCCAGCAGTCTGGCTATAGCTGTAAAAGAGTTGCTCATCCTGTAGATGTCTTTACCACAGCCTCCCAGTAAAGACGGGTAACATTCAGTGAGAGCTCTGATCTCCAGCAACAGGGTGTGATGAACACTGTGCTCTGTGCTGCCAAGAAGGGACACCAGGTAGACCAATGAGCTGTGACCATGAGTCTGGAGAAAGGGGATGACACAGATTGTGAGTGAGGACATTAAAAACATTATATCTGATGTTGTGATTGCTGGTCCTGGCAAAACAAAACAAACCATAACAAAGGAATAAGAAACAAAATAAGAGTAATTTCTAATGTTGTGAAAATTGCTGAAAATGGGACCAGTTTTGTGTAATGGGACAATCTGGGAGGTATTGTTTCTCACTACATGTGTTTTGGTGAACAAAGAGTGAATTTTATATAATCTGACACACATTATTTATACACTTCCAGATAGTTTTGGGGGTTTGGTGTAACTCTTTTGTTTCTAAATCATGACAAACAACAATAAATACAAACATATGCAGATGGCTCTTGGCAAGAAAATATTAATTTCTTTCCCGTTGGCCTTTGCAATAACATACACAGATACACACACCGAGGAAGACGCAACTTGACCTTTTCATTTCCATCACTCCAGCATCATAATTTTAAAAACAATGGGAGCCAACCTACTCTGGCAGGAGCACATGTACTTGTGTAATACCTGTAATAAAAAAACAACAACTAGACAAACAAAAAAAACTTTATTTCCTCCAGCTTGGTAACTATGGAAAGCTCTCCCCAATCTACCTCCCTAACCACATTATTATGTACCAGGCTGCGAATGTCACAGTCCAAGTCTAAAAACATTTCTAATCTCTGACTTGATGTATCAATTTCAAAGAACTACCTGTTTACCCCTTCAACAACAGACGATGCATGTGAATGAAGACAGATCCTAAATCCACATGTTATCAGAATAGAAGACCTTGGGAGAACCAGATGAAGCCAGCTTCCCCATTCACACGTGAATGTCAGGATGCTAACTGATACAGGACCTCACATCCAACATGCTCACTTTAGTTCCACCTAATGGAACTAAACTTTCTGACTGAGAAAGAATATCCGTATCTTAACTCACTGGAAAGGATAACATAAAGCATATATGACTTGTGAATTCTCCCACAGAGTCAGAGTCCAACTTCCTGGTTCAAATGTAGCCCATGCTCAAGTCCGTGTTCTGAAAATCAGGTCTCGTGTCGGACTCAAGTCAATTGGTACCCACGTTATATATATTGACTAAACTGTGCGACTTCACCCTACAGTGATGTGTGGACAACCATGTATTATTTACTACATTTGCACAACACAAGTTGGTACAGCCGGGTACTCATGCACTATATACTCATATGTCAGATATGGTTTTGATGGACATGTGGATGCATGGAATATATATAGAATATCTGGTATACTGTACATCCTTTATTGCCCTTTGTATTGCCTTGATTTCAAGTCCTATGTCTGTAGGTTTGCAAGAATTTAATGTGTTATGTAACACATAGATTTTCAAGACCAAGAATTTAATGTGTTATGTAACACATACTTAGATTTTCAAGACACCATTAGGTTCCAAATGAGCAGCCAACTCTGCAGTGTTTAACCTGCAGATTGACCAAATGAGGCTCAGAGGAAACATTTAGCCTCATTAGAAACTAAATTTGATATTTTAAATCTTCCCACAAACTGTAGGTGATTAAAACAATACTGATATTATGGATATTTTGAGCCTTTACTTCACCATGTTCACCATGCACATTAATCAGTATGGATGGATAACACATGAACGTAGACTTCTTCACTTAACACACTTAAAACACATTAATTGAAGATAGGATGCTTTGCCATACATGTGCAACTCTCTGAAGAGTAGCCACACAAAGCTGAGTCATCTTTGTCAGCATATGTAAAAGCAAGGGTGTTTCCTGAGGGTAATGTTCCCTTAAACTGTGCTATGGCTGTGTCATTAGGCTAGAACTTTAAAAACTACTTTTCTTTGTAACCACCTGAGCAACTGGTCTGTTTAGGAGAACCTGATATACTGTAGGTAATAGCAGTCAAAGCCTCCAGACCTGCCCAGCCTGTGCAGTGAAGACGTGTGTTTCATACTTGACAGGACAACAGGGAAAGTCATGTGAGCATGCAGCCCAGTCCTCCAAACTCATTAAAATGCTCACTCCTTCCTATTTCAGCACAGGTCTATGTTTGTGTGGCTGTGCACTGCCTAAGGTGGAGTTTTAGGTGTTCCTTCTTACTTCTTGTCTCTTCATATTCCTTAATTGGAGTTTGGAAATGAGTGCTACATTTCTTTAAAGTTGAATCAGGTTCAACTTGTGTGGATATGCCAGTTTGCTGTTGGCATTCATTCATGACTTTCCACTCTCTTTTGTATAATGATGCCATTATCAAATTGGCTTGGCCAGTGAAGACGTGTGTTTCATAATTGACAGGACAACAGGGAAAGTCATGTGAGCATGCAGCCCAGTCCTCCAAACTCATTAAAATGCTCACTCCTTCCTATTTCAGCACAGGTCTGGCTTGGTACTCAGTTTGAAATGGGTACTTTCCCCCTCTGTATCAAGCACACTGTATCAGTACTTTAAATGAATGTAAACTTGTAAGATCATGTGTGCTGTTACCTCACTGATCATGCCTACTGCACCATGGATTTTGGCCACATGGCCCAGGAGAGCAGGGCATTGCTGTCCCACTATTCTCAGCGCTGGCAGAAAGCTGACCAAAGAGGAAGGGTTGGACTGTGACACATCCACAAGTGCACCCAAAAGAGCTTCAGTTAGAGACTGATCACCTAGGTAACCAACCAGTGCCGGTACCTGAGGGCTCAACATCTGTGTGGATGAGGAGATACAAAGATAAAGATGGAAAAAAGTTAAGTTTTTGAGTATAAATGATTCTGTCATTGCTTATACAGAACACTATCAAACAGGATTCATATGTCTTTAATAAAGGCAGGAGTTAAGAGGAGTGATCTTGGGAGACTAATAACAGACTGCAGGACTGTCTGGACGAACCAGCTGGGTGAACTGTTCCTCTTCATTCACTCAGCCATTCATATCATTTACTGTATCCCAGCAGCCACTCGCTACTACAGCTAAAAAGTCCGCCTCTACCCCTGCAAGCATTTTCTCCATAGACCACAATGATATAAGAGACGTATAAAAGTGTTGACAGGATACATCAAACTGCAAACCAGGTCAGTTTTCACTCTTTGCATTATGACTGTTTAATCCAATGGGGATTTATAATTGTAAAACTTTCCCAGAGCCTAAAAAACAAACTTGTTTTCGTGACATCATCCAATTGTAAAGTCTATGGGCCGAGCAGTAGCGCATGAGTGGAGGCAGAGAGGAAACACTAATGTGCACGTGCAGTGGGCTGCATAATGCAGAAAGCAAACCTGGAAGCCAGAAAACATTTTTGGCTAATGCATCAGATGAACAATTTTCATTCAAGTGACTGGAACCATCTTTGAATCCAAGAGCCAGCTCCTATAATACATCCGTGACCGGATCAGACTCACCATTACCGCCCCACTTGGACTGTTTTTTGTGAGTCATTTGTTCTGAACAAATATGGGAATATCAAACAAGAACTGTCTCTCAGGGAGAGGATGTTTGACCATTAAAAATAAAAATAATGTTATGTAATTTCAAAGTTATATGTCAATGTCAATTTGAATCTTTTAGGTACTCCATCACTTCCAGTAAGTGCATATTAGGATGCAGAAGATTTGGTAACTTCTGTGATGAATGCAGCTATAATCACAACAGAAATATTGTGTGTGCCTGTGTGGGGGCCGGAGGTTAGAGTAACTCCAGATGGCTGGTTCTCTGTCTCCACAGTGAGACATAGTGAGTCACTGAGACTATCCATGTTTTACCACCACATGCTCTGTGTGCTGGTATGTGGTACTTTTCTCTCATGTCGAACATCAGTAACTCTGCTCCAAAATATACAGGATTAAAGGGAATTCCTATTCAGAAGTGTGTGCTCCACACACACTGATCCACTTACTCACTTCTAACCATGTTCCTGTGGATTTTCTATACTTTTTAGATAAGCTCATTACTGGATGTAGTACAAGTACAGTACATGATCTGATGAACCTTTTCTCACTGGCAGAAATGTAACCTACACATTTTCTTATGCCATGGCAACAGAGGCTCAGCTCTGATTCAGTTGATGGGGCATTATTCTTACATAACCCCACAGTTTCTTATACATAGAGAACGTTAAGGTACGTCAAGTTGAGTTGAATGTTGGGATTTGGGCACCATTTCTGGAGATACGTGCTGTATAGTATTTACCTGCATACATTCTTGTTTTGTTTGGCTAAAAAATTGCTTAAATCATTTAGATATCACTTTAGTCACTGTGGTAATTCAGAATAGATAACCTTAGCTAACTTGGAGCGGACCCAAAGAGCCCATCTACAAGAGTGACAGACTGAAAAATGACTCTCAGCTCTCAGTTCGGGAGCTAACGCTAAAGAAGAAGAAGAGAAGAAGCTTTATTTTATTGTCATTGTAACACGTACAACGAAAGTCTGTTTGGAGCCGAGGGCCCCAGGCCGCTACGTGCATTCGAGCTGCCATCACGGGCAACTTGGGGGGGTTCAGTGTCTTGCCCAAGGGCACTGTGGCATGTGGACTGCAGGCACCAAGATTCATACCCTCAATCTTCCGGTTGGGAGACGACTGCTCTACTCACCGCGCCACTGTTGCCCCCAGAAGCTAGCAGCTGCTCAGCAGATGACACAAGCACTACAGATGAATCCATTTCTGTCCTGTCTGCACTCAAACTGAACACTAAAGTAGCTGTTTGGACATTAATGTATAGACTGTATGTAGTGTATATAGCTCTGATTGATAAAGAGCATAATGCTCCAAACATGGCGCATTTATCCAAAATTCAACACGGCATGACATCAACTTTACGTTCTCTCTTGTAATTACAGTAAAATAAATATTAACACAATAATAGCTTGATTTACTCACAAGCGGATGCTGCTCAGCAACCATTTGAATGAGTCTAATGAGGTGTTGTTGTTCTGCGGACTCCAGCTGTAACATCATTGCAGTAAGGTTGCCTAGGTGAGCGTGGATGGTGTCTGGTTGTTTGGGATAAACTGATGGCAACACTCGCAACAGCATGTGGTTACCTGAGAAAGCAAGCAACAAGTTCAATAAGGTCCATATTGAAATCAGAGCCAAAAGTGTACAGCAACAAAATCCAACTGAGAAAGCAAGCAACAAGTTCAATAAGGTCCATATTGAAATCGGAGCCAAAAGTGTACAGCAACAAAAATCCATTTCATTTATATTAACAAGACTAAATAACAGAAATACCTCTCTGTGCAACACTAAGCAGCACAAATTATATCATCCTAGGTAGGAATCATCACAGGCTTTGACCACATTAGCTTTAGATTAAAGTACATAAAGTGGCAACTGAAGATACTGCATGTACCAAATATACTTTAGCAACATGTTTTTTGATCAAACTATTCAGTTTAATTTGTGTGGCAATACCACTGTTAAGGTCCTGAGGAAGTGCTGTAACTGTTTTCTTAAGAAAATACACACACACAAGATCCTTAGTCATGATAAAACATCTGTATTAAGGAATAAAATACTCTCCATTTGTTGTCAATATTCTTCCAGTGATGCTGAAGCAGGAAAAAATATGTCAGTACTTACTCTACATGTGACTCAACATAAAGGCATTCCTATAAATCAGCAGGCAGCCCAACAAAACCCCTGGCATTACCAAACAGCCTTTGATTCACGAATGAAACATCTTTAAATGATTCACATTGCTGAACAATAGCTTATTTTCAGTGGTACGTTCCTTATTAGTGACATTTCAAGATTTCAACAATGCCTTTTCTGTGCTGCCTGACCAAACACCAGACAACAAGAAATGCTGTAAATGTAACTGCAGTCATGTTTTGGAGTTAATTATATAACCTGCATAAAACAAGGGCTGACACTGGGGCAGATTATATGTGGTGTTAATGTTTGAGGATTTATTCTAATAATAAATCATTTTTTTGAATTTACACTGATGAAAACAATAAGAGTGAAGAGAGAAACAAGGTTTGACAAAGGCAGTCAAATGCAGTGAACATGGCACTGCATTACATCCTGCAACACCTCGACTCCCCAGGGACCTATGCACGGGTCCTCTTTGTGGACTTCAGCACGGCGTTAAACACCATCATCCCAGACATCCTCCACTCCAAACTGACCCAGCTCACTGTTCCTGCCCACACCTGTTCAGTGGATCACCAGCTTTCTGACAGACAGGAAGCAGCAGGTGAGGCTGGGGAAAACACATCCAGCACCCCTCTTCCATCGCTGTCTAGTTTGGCTCATCAACCAAACAGGACAGATACAGACTCCAGCAAACAGACAGGACTGCAGAAAGAATCATCAACGCCAGCCTGCCCTCCATGTAGGACCTGTACACCTCACTAGTCCACTTCACTATTTTCTTTTCAAACATTTTTTTATTATTCATTCTTATTCATGTGAATTAATCTATACTGTATCCAAAATTTTGTAATGTGACAACAAAGTTACCTTTGCATTGACTGTGACATCTTGTCCAAGATATGTCAAAAAACTAATAGCTGAAAAATGTACATGTAATTCACTTTAATCATTTTCTATGAAATCTCACAGCAGAAATTTAAAGAAATGGTTTGACACAAGAGCTGTTCACAGCTATTTATTACTATAACCGCAGGCTGTGTGCTCAAAGAGGTACAGAGAACTGGTAATAAGGAACAAAAATGGACGGACCGTCCATTTCATTTTTCTTTAATCATAGTTTATAGTATATACATCACAGACATACGCCCATCTGTACAAGTGCAACACTAATCACCTTAAAGAACCAGGCAGATACAAGGCAGGGAGCTGGTAATAACCATGAAGTTGTAGTTTACAGGCCTGTTTGGAGGAATGATAAAAGGCAGGAGTGGACAAGAATCTGCACAGAACCAGGAGGATTTATAGAGCTCGCCTGTTTGAGTCTGTTTACTGCACCTTCATGCACACATTACTGATTTTAATTTGAATACATAATGTACTTACTGCCCCTCAGGTTTTAGGGCCTTAGTTGACTCCCACTAGTCTTCACAGCTTGTCTTTGTACTTGTCTATGTACATCCTCTGACCTTCATACCTTCATTCCAGCTTACACCCAAACGATCAGCATGACTTGCAAATCTCAGTAAAATACTGTATCTTCTAATGACCTTTGGTCCTTCAGCTCACAAAGGGCTCCTTAGACATTTTGCAAGAAGACAAAGAGAATGTCTTAGGTTTTCTGTCAAACTATTGTTAGCTTTATGTGAAGAGGCAGGAGAGGACATGACGGCTTGTGCAGTTTTTCCAAATGTCACATTAGCATCCCAAAATGAGTCAGAAAAAATAAACTCCAGAGACATGGTTAACTTTGAATTTAAAAAAATGACTTTAATAGACGTAGCTGCTGAATATCTTAAATTTATTTCATTGTCCCTGTACTAAAATGTCTGTGCTAAATACATCCAGAAAACTCCTAAGAGGACACTACAACCCACAGCAATAGCAAAACCTATAAACTGAAGCAATCAGGACCAGCGCATATAATTCCAAGTAACTTAAATGAGATCTGACTTAAGGATACATATGTAAATTCAATTTTTACTCAGGTTTGCAAAGACATTTTAACTCCAAAAGCCTTTAAGACCAAACCCCATAGTGGTTTAAGACACTTTTAAAACTGAGAAAAAGGTACAATATAGCACATACACGACTGGGGAACAAAAAAAAAAAGGTGTTGCCTAAAACTCGGCCCATAATATGTATGAATGACGCTATATAAAAGTCAACAGAAATCATTTTTAATAGTTAAGAAAACAAAATGTAACATCCAAACACATTTTGTTTATTGTTTTATTTTCTGGCAGGTTGCTGATGATTATCTATTTTGGTAGCAAATCATCCTGCAAACCATCCTGCTTTGTTTTTCCACTGTATTTTCTCTGTCATTCTGCATTTAGAAGGGCTGCTCTCCTCTCACACACAGCAGAGGAAGACAGGACGTATCACTCCACAGTGCAACAATCATCTAGTAATGTATGTAGTATGAGCAGTTTATCAAACTGCTGCTGAACAAGCAGAACACAGACCTGCAGAAATGTGACGTCTTCACCGCTTTGTCCGCGGTCCACTCACCCCGTTCACCTTGTACCCAATGAGTGTGTTTACACACCATGCTTGTAATGCTATTGACCAATTGGTGAAGACACAATTTCAACCAATCATGGGCGGCTGCTCTGCGACCACACGCTCCTTCCCCTGTCACGTTCCTGGAACTGGATTTGAGTGCTACCTCTTTAGGAGTGGGTAGTGGAGACAAGCGCACAACCCCGTGACAAGTGTTACTCAGCTCAACCTTTTTTGTTAGGTTCCCTTTAATGGAAAAATCCAAAACCAGAAAATATTTCACATGTAGGATTATGGAAGTGGTGATTTGTTTTTGCTAATTTCCTATCAAAAACAAATCAAGTAATTAATCCATTACCAAAATTGATGCAAATTCAGTTTCTGTCAATTGACTGACTATTCCTGTAGCTCTACTTCATCCCATTCATATCCAACTATATACATAACTTGGTATGACAAACTACTCGACACTTAACTCTTATGTGGGAGGTTACAGTAAAACACACTGCAGAGATCAGCACAAATTATATCCAGTGGGACTTTTCTGGAAAACTTTACGACTTTACGCTCCCAGCTCATATTTCATGAATGTATGTCCCGTAAGTCATATATCATGCAGCCTGCGCGACCTCAGATTGGTGAAGGTAGGGGAAGGGGGACTGTCAAATCAAAATGTAAGAGACAGGAGACAACCCTCTCCCAGAAAACCCCTATCACTGGAATTCTCTGCATTTTTGTTGCATGAGCAATAGTCCCCTGCAAGTATTTAGGCACTTACTAAGCACAACTGTCTCTGGAAGGGATCCAGAGTGGAAAGAAAGATGTAAGGATTTTCATTATATGTATACATGACTCAAAATGTTTCCTCCATCATCCATTCTGATCTGAACCTCCTCTTTATCCTCTGTTGTTACTAATTAATAATGCACTGGACATAAGCAAAAACATGATTTTACCTGCTGTAATGTAAATGTACAGGTTTTTAAATACACAGGCAGTGATTTTTGTTATGGTTTAGAAACTGTTGGCAGTGAATCTTTGTGATGACTGCTCACTTCCTACTGTATAAACCCAAATAAATCAGTGTAGCTGCTAAAGGACACATACGGTATAACTTCATTTTTTGTGCTTCAGACGATTACTTTACTGAGAAAACCTGAAGAGACAACAGCAGTCTAGTAAAAAAAAAAATAAAAAAAAAACCATCAAATGCACACTGCAGCTGTCTGAATCAAAAGTTTGTTCAAAACCCAGATAACAAGTGAACAAGAGTGTTTCAGTGGGATTCTGAGGGAGAGAAAACAGACGCAGTGAAAGAGAGACACAGGTAGACACAGAGGTGGAGGGAGGGGGGAGAAGGGGCAAATCCTAAAATCCCATGAGGAAGTCATTATTTCCATCCCCCTTGAACAAGCACACACAAGAATGTAGGCATTTCACACTCGCATCACACACACACACACACACACACACAGCGAGGCTGACAAATAAATAAATAAACAGAACGAAGCAACAGAACAATAAACCCTTTTAGAAACCCCTGATGTCTGGGTTCCATTCAACCCAACTTCCCTCAGCACACGCACACACTCGCACACAAACACACACAGTCTCTGCATGGGGCAGAAACCAGGGAAGTGTGTGTGTGCTCAGCTTCCTCCCCCTTCCATTATCTCTGCCCCCTCTTTCCATCCCTCTGTGAGCCACAGGAGCAGCAGTTAGATCTGGTTACGCCACACGGGCTACCTCCAACGACGCATTACTCACCTCCCCACTCGCAGGTTGCCTGGATATTTCGATAATTGTGAAAGCCAAATGTTTTCACAAGTATGGAAATTTAGAGAATTTTTTTAACATTTCCTCATTTCTATTCCCTGTATGCTTGAATTTTGTGTAGTAACTGGGTTAAAGAGAGTGTTAAGGATTAGGCTCAGACCCGGGAAATCAAAGAGAAGGGTTTGGCACTGCTCGCATCAAGATTACATCTGGTAGTGGATTACAAGGGTCATGTTTCAACAAACAAATCACAAGCAAATTGCAGATATTTGCATGGATCATCGATATGGTCTTGTCGATTAGTGAAACACTGCAATTAACAGAAGAGGAGGTAATTTCATGTTGCAAATTGAAACTTTTCCATGGTGAAATAGGCCTATGGGAACAAGGCGCCATCGCTAAATAGAAGTCAGCCAAGGCAAAATTGTAAGGAGTGATCATACAGATTGGAGATTCATGTTAGCTAAACTGCTGTAAAATGATAAAATCATCACCCCAAAACAAAACACATCACAGGTTAACAGCTTTCCTGCTTCCTCCTTGTTTATCACAACTGTACATGTACACACAATTTTCCTGAGCAGTGAGGGATTACCAACACTTTGGGTGCACTTACTTTTGGGTTGACTTAAAATAACATGGTTTAGATAATCTGGCTTGTTTACAACCCATGTTTCATGTCCTGTTGGACTATACTGTCGCTGTGTTCCCAGATTTCACAAGGATGGATATGTAAAGTTCTCAAAAGAGTGATCAAAGATTGAGTCAACCCTCTTTCTGATTGGGATACTATACACCGCTGGGTTTCCTTGGAAAATATTGCTCTGCGTTTCATGAGAGGTAGAGGTTGGAAGTCATTAGGAAGGAGGGACAAACATGAGAGAGTGAGGGGTTGAAAAAGAGAGTGACAGACCTGCAGTGCTCTAGAAAGTGAGACAGAAGATAAAAGGAAGCAGAGACAAACCAGACACACACAGGGACTTCGCAGACACACATCTCTCTCTCACTCATACATACACGCTCAGTCAGCAGCAGCATGTTTCGGTGGAGGAACCTCCAGGCAGTGTGTGTCCTGTCGCTGTGTGTGTGTTTGGCTCTTGCCTACGAGGATGTTATCGAGGTCGACTACACTGACAGCTACGGCAATGAAATCCCAGATGGAGAGACACCAGCACGTAAGTATTAGACAGCACATGTGTGTGTGCTGAAACCAAAGATTTATCTGACCTCAATAGGCTGGTGTTATTGCATTTAATTCACTTGTACAGTGTGAATTAGTTTCTTCTAGGATTTATGCATGCTTTTGTGTAAAAGGTGAGATAAGGGCATTAGCGTCATTGTCTTTATATGTTCAGTCCGTCACTGTCATCATGACTATAGTGGAAATCAATGGACTAGGCAGGACTTACCACTATGGCTTAAGACCAAGCAGCAGCAACAGCTGAGCTCCAGTTATATTGTGACTGATTCAAGAGGTTGTAGAAAAAGAATGAGATGAGATTTTTAATTGATTTAGTGATTAACATGTGACTTTGGTGGTGGCATAGCTGATAACTGTCAAGTCCACTTTTGGGAAATTTAGTATTAATTTGATGAGTATCTTGTTTTTCCAAGGGTAAATAAGAAAAATACAGAGAATGATAGATGAGAGGGAGAGAGTCTGTTGGCAAAAACCGAGTTTGCGAATGAGACAAGCAAGATCAGAGAATATACATGAGCCAGAAGAGCAGAGCGGGCTTTTTCAGCTGCCTACCAGGACCAACACACGTTACACTAAGTGCAGAAACACTACTATACATCGCACAGCTGTTTTGGAAAGCATCGCTGCTGATGTGGGGCTAACGAGAGAGTGGAGTCTATGTTCAAGTGTGTCCAGAAAAGAAAGTGGCCACCACGGTTTGTGTGTTGCATTGGTTTGCTGTTTTAAACACGGTGGGAGGTAGAACTGCAGGACCAACACTGAACAGGCAGGAAACATTGCTCTGGGCACAGCCTGTGATATGATTAAACATGATTGAAGGCAAAAAAGAAGAGATGACAAATGATTGATAATAGCAGTGTAATACAAGGCTCTGAATTACAGCTAAAGAAAAAAAAAAAGATTTTCTGCATGCCAAAGCAAAAAATGGTAAGAGCAAGAAGTACAAAGAAACAGCGGTCAAAGCCTGTAGACAGACACAAATCTTTGCCTCTGACCTGCTCAAATCTCTGAATGGGAATTTAAAATAAAGAGGAAAACTTGGAAGAGCTCATGATACACGGAAAATGAAAAGCTTAAGCTCTTTAAAGGAAATTGTACAGTTTCCCAACACACCTCGACTGCTATTAAAAGGAGAGTATAGGTTGTACTTTCACAACAAGTACTTTTCTATCTACCTGTACATGTACATTTACAGTATGTGTGTACTTAAAGGTTAGTTCCTGTAATTGCTATTCATACAGCAACACTGAAAACATGGGCCCTCCCTTTAAACGTCACAAAGAATAAAGCAGTTCATTTAACTGCAGTTAATCTGACATTTGTTAAGTTTGTGAAATGGCAGAAAACGGTGAACAATTCTAGTTTCCTAAAGCCAAATTTGATGCCATCAAACGTCATGATTTATCTGACAAAACCATCCAAAAACAAAAAATAATCAGGTTACAATTAAATGGAACAGATAAAAGCAGCAAAATCATCATTAGTGAAGATGGAACCAGGTCATCAAAATAGGTGCAGATTCATTTTTAAATTGACAAATCCATCCATCAACATAAAACCTTCAGAAATAAATCTAAACAAAAATTTGGAAATGACTTTATGAGCCTTCAAATGCAGGTGAAAATCACCACAAAGGGTCAAAGATCCAAGCTAGTCAAACTGACAGGTCCTTTTCTACTTCCAAATGCATTAAAATCGCTCATTAACTCAATCGAGGCTGTAGCTTTGAGGAAGCAGAAACCTTCTGCCCAATATGCTTTTGGTACCTTTGGAAGAGGAAGTCAAAACAATTCCTAGGGTCCTATGACAATGCTCGACTAGAATATGTTTATAGGTATAAAAAGAAGTTGAGAGGCCAAGTGTTAATCAGAACAATATGTCTGACACATATTCACACTTGAGTATTGTTATTTTATCCCCCATTCCCCATGTTTCCCTCTACTCTTGTTATCTTTCTTCTCTCAGCAGATCTTCCCTTTCCTTCATTCATTCTCCTTAGTCACACAGAAAGATAGATTATCCCACAGGAAAAGCAGCAGCCAGAAATTTATCATCCTATTTCTTCCTCACATTTTTCTCTCTCTCCTTTACACGCTGTTCAACTATCAATCCGCAACGTCTCCTTCACTGAACCTTTCGCAGCAGTTGGATACAGGGCAAGCAAGCATATATTTTCCATTTTTCTCCTAATTATGGCCTACAGTTCCTGTTAAAAGCTGAAGAAATCACAGAATGTTTAACTCATGTTTAACTCCTCTACATATGTGCTGTAGAAACCCCAGTGATTTCATCTTTTCTAACTTTTCTCTTTTTCCCCATTCCTCCTCCAGCCACGCCGAGCCCTGCGCCCTGCAGTTCTCCTGACCTGACCAAATGGGACAAAATCTTCTCAATGCTGGAGAACAGTCAGATGAGGGAGAACATGCTGCTTCAGTACGTCGACAATATCATCAAGGTGGAGATGGGGTCACTGCGTGGGGACATTCTCAGGTTGGTTGGACAAAGGAACAAGATCTCAAAGCAATTAAGGTCTTAAATAAGATGAAATGAGTTTCCATTCAATTTTTAGAGCCAAGCTTGATTTCACACCAAATTCTTATGCTAAATGGTTACAAAGGATCAAAGGTCTTCATTTAAAAAAAGGTTAAAAATGTTTGACATTGGTCCTTCTGGACAGGCTTGTAGACCAGTATGGCGGCTCCTGTGGGGCTGCAGTGGAGACAGCAGGAAGAAGGATGGCCTCGCAGCTGGAAGACCGTCTCAGAGAAACCCTAATGCTCCTCAAACTTGGAGATCAGGCTTCTGCTGCTGTTGCTTCTTCTGAGAGTTCTTTCGAGGATTACAACAACCTGAAGGAAACGCTATACCGGCTCCTCATCATGGGACGAACACAAGTCTCCCGACTCACCAATTTGGAGGCCAGCTGCTTCAGCAGCTCAGGTAGTGGGGGGTCTGGGCACTGGGCACAAAAGGTCACATCACAAGAAGTGGCTTTAGAAGGGGCGCTGGCTGCACTGCAACAAATGAGGCTGGAGATGGGGGAGGTGCTGAGGTCATCTAAGCAAAGATACCTACCTGCAGGTAAGATAACATCTGCAATATCTGTTTTTTTCTGCCTTTTCAGGTCATGCTTCAAGTCAAAGAAAGGGACACCTCCGTCAAGCAGTTGATCAAGCAGCTTGTGTTTTTCCTATATAGCTTTTCCTCAAGTAGCAAATTATCTTCATCACTTCATCACTAATATTAGCTCAGTGTGGTCAAGTCAAACATGGAGAAGAGATGTTAGTATGGGGCCAGCTGAATAATGCTTTCTTAATGCCTCTTAGTTCTGTTTAGCAATTTTTATAAACATAATCTGGTGAGTCTTCAAGAAAAACAAAGGTACAACACCTAGCTCAGGCAAACTGGGATATCATCCATCACTGACAGATATTCAAAGGTATATTTTTAGAATTTTAAAGATAACAGAAGCAAACAGCATGAAAAGATAAGTGTCAAATGCAAACAGTCTTTGGACTGAACTTCTAATGGGCTATAAACATGTATTTGAAGTCACTACTGTATGTGGTTTCACCCAGTACAGTACATGGTTTACTGTCCATTCCTGAAATAATAATGGTGTACGTTTAGAGATTATGTGACTGAGTGAGAAAACCTGGATCACATTTAGTTTCACAAAGGCACCACTCTTGTCAGCAAGACAC